AGAAAAGGGATCAAGCCGTTTCTGCACACTATACCCTCTTCTTTAGAGAGGGGTAAGCTGGGGATGTAGGTGAATTTAGGGAAGAATACACGATTTTGCGGAAAGATGAATAGGCCCTCAGAAGAATAAGTGCTAGACTACAACAAAGTCTGTCTGGGCATGGTGTCAGCCTCCAGTGCCCTCTCCTGTGATACAAGTTTAATCTTCCCTGGTTAATGAGACTCCCAGGAAGGAGAGTCATGATAGTTGAGTTTCTTTCAGAAGATCTGCCTTTACAAAGATAAAGGAAGTTTAGAGAAAGCTCCTCCCTTCATTTGCTGTTCCCCAGGTTCCCTCAGTTTGAAGTAATCAGCATACAAAAGCACCGTATTTTGGGCTAGCATTTGCTGAACTCCTACAGCATTATTTATAAGTCAATAATGTTTAGAATATTACATCTATAAGTTAATAACATTTAGAATATTACATCGTGAAATTTAAATAAGAACAATGACTTTACAAAAATGAATTGTCCATTTATTTTATTACATTATTTTGATTTTATATGAAGCCTGTAAAATTTTAACAGTTGTTTTAATATATTACAAAGTAATTTTTGAACGGATTATTTTAGAGAAATAATAGGCAAAAACAGAATTTTCATTGCAAGATGAAAATCTAAACAAAGAATAGAATTAATAATAATATATCTAATGTAGTTATGCTCTCTATGAATATCGCAAACCTAAGTAGACTTATGGATTAATGATCACCAATTTTGTTCTGACATTATAATAATGCAAACTCAAATGTTACACAAAACTTCTCAGATGTAAAATGCTTTCTTACTTAAACCTGCTTTTTCCAGAACGAACTGACCTTTTTCATACATTTTGGTCAATTTTTAAATAAAGTATTTCCTTTGTCATTGAGAGACTATAGACAACTAGACTTGAGTACTGGGGACTGTGAGCTTCTCCTTTGTGTTTTCTCATCTGTAAAATGAAAATATTTTAGTTTCTGGGAATGTAGGGCTGCTTCCTCTCCTCCTTATCTTAGACTACGCATTGTATTGACTTTATATTCCTTTCAAATAAACACATGACAGCCAGGTGTGGTGGCTTATGCTTGTAATCACAGCACTTTGGGAGGCTAAAGTGGGATGATTTCTTGAGTTCAGAAGTCCCAGACAAGCTTGGCAGCATAGTGACACCCTATCTCCACAAAAAAAAATAAAAATAAAAATAAAAATTACCTGAACATGGTGGCACATGCCTGCAGTTCCAACTACTTGGGAGGCTGAGATGGGAGGATCACTTGACACAGGGAGGATGAGGGTACAGTGACCTCTGATTGTACAACTCCACTCCAGCATAAGTGACAGAGCAAGGTGCTGTGTCAAAACAAACAAACAAAAACCACAAAGCAATAAATGGGAATGTTCACATGTCTATAAGTTTTCTACTTGAGGATGAGATTCCTACAAGTCTACAAGTTTTATCCACTTTAGCTTCAAGACCTACATTGTTCTGATGACTGTGGGAAGGCACATAGGCATATCTTTGCCTTGCAGAGGAGTTTTTGTATGTTTTCTAGGGACGATAACAAGGTAGAAAAGAAAGTAATTTGGCCCCATTTCTAATTTATCCAGGACGCATGGTGACAAAGAATTATGACACTCTTACTATATTTGGCACCATATGAGGCATAAATGAAGCTAACATCATTTCTAATGAAAGACAGTTTTCAAAGGATGTCTACAAAAATTACATTTTTTTAAAATTTTGGTACTATATGTAAGATCAATCTTCTGGGAAAGTACACTCAGATAAAATCATGGGCTTCTTTTTTAAGGGGGAAAAATAATGTTTAGTCAATTTGATTTGCTTCCCATGAAAAAAAAGTTAAATAATTTTATGGAAGTGTCTAGAGGATCTTGACTCCATAACAAGTATTTTATGGAAGAGTTCTCATAATCGAAGATTGAACCGGGCAATGTTTAGTTTATGATTTTATTTCAAAAAATTTTACTACTTTTTTCTTTTACCTATCCTGCAAAGTGGGGGTGACATAAGTTGAATAAGTAATGTAACACAAACTTTATATTTAAAAGATTTGGGAAAAGGGATCAATAAGTTTTGTCACTCTCTTCTTCCTTATTTAGAGCACCAGTCTCAAATTTCAGGAAAGCGTGTGGATAGTGAAGAGGAAAAGAGGATGAAGTGTATTTTGTTTCCCTGGAGGTCTCAGGGCTCCTTTGGAAGAAGAGTAGCTTAGATAGCCTAACATTTTGAGACAAATAACATGGAAGGCAACTGACGTAAGGTTTATTGCAAAATAAACTCCTTGGGTTATTGTCAAAATAGAATAGATGTCTGGTCTATGATATTTGCTATTTAGTATGTTCTTATGCCTTTTGGAAATAAAGACTAAATTTCATTTTGCCTGGTTTTCAGCAAATGGGCATAGATCAATTACTGCTCATCTGAATTACAAATTTTTTGAAGTAATTCTTTTTCATTGTTATTATTTAGGGCATAAATGTTTAGTTTGACAATTAAAACAAAAATATACTTTAAAAACTTTTGCAAATTAAGAAAGGATTGTGACTCTATAACCTAAATATGGAAAATATTTAATGGATATATCCAAAAGTAATTTTAATCTTCACAGCAGTGAAATGGCCCAGGGTTAATTTTAGGTTTTTACATTCGACAAAGAGTTATATCCAAAGAGTACTGAAGAAATTGCTTAATATAAGCCTTTCTTTTAAAATTGGTGTACATTTAATGAATTCAAATTAGCATATAAGAGGGAGACAAAAAATTAAAGAATAATTTTCAAAGAATATATATATGTATATATATACACAAACATGTGTATCATCTTAAAATAGCAATTGAATTGAGAGAAATTATGTTCTTTTTAATAATTTTCCAAATGACAACTTCAGGAGATGTTGGAATAAGACAATGTATGACAGGCACAACTCTTCCATAATAACTTCAGTCTAGAGACCTGTGTGTACTGAACACAGACTTTTTGGTTTTTGTAACCTAATAGTTTACTAATTTTTCAAAGGAAAGGAAGTAGAAAGGCTCTTGTACCATTATTCATGAGATTTTTTTTTGAATTTCTCCTCCAACTGAACTGATACTGATATTGAAAGCAAATTCATGCATTTTAGAAGTTTTTTATTTTGTTTTGTTTTGTTTTGCTTTGCTTTGTTCCTGAGATAGGGTCTCATTATGTTTCCCAGGTTAGGTGAACTCACTCTTGGGCTCAAGTGATCCACCTGCATTGCCTCAGCCTCCGAGGAGGTAGTAGCTGGGAGGTACAAGTAGCTGGGATTACAGGCAGATCATCATGCCCGGCTCATGTTTTTTATTTTATTTTTTCATCTTTAAAGAGAAGTCACAGTGGAACTTCACAATTTATCTGAAGAAAAAAAAATCAATATAATTTTTGGCATCATTTTCAAATTTGACTTTAAAACCTGGTTAGTAGCACTCTAAAATAAATTCTTTCCTTCTCTACACTTTTCGAAAAATATTAACTGGTAGGACCCAAAACATGATACCCCAATATATGGTATCTTGGCATGCAGAGTACTTTGAACTGAAGGGTATTGGAGAGCCTCATAAGGAAGGCCTCTCTGACCTTCTCTCACTCTCCTTTCTCTACCTGTCCTCTCTCCCAAGGTGGCCCACAGAAACTAGAATTCCTTTCTCTCACAGCATAAAACCTAAAACCTTTTAGCTATAAAACCTGAAAGGATCACTCTGACCTACCTCCCCTGAAAATAGGTCAGAAGACCCTTTTCTGACAGTTGTTCTTCCCTAAACTGGGAGAAGGTTTGCTATACAGAAAGAATGAGAAGAATCTGAAGAGATAGGCCTTACTAAATTCCTTTCAGTTTATTATCATTAGATCATACTCTTTTTATTGGATCACATTTCTCCACAAATATTCACTTCTTTCCTCAGACTTAGAATACAAATGCAAAATTTTCTCTGGGATTGGATCTGCATTTCTGAAGGCTCACACTTCACTTAAAACTTTGTTAGCCGGGCGCAGTGGCTCAAGCCTATAATCCCAGCACTTTGGGAGGCCAAGGCGGGTGGATCACGAGGTCAAGAGATCGAGACCATCCTGGTCAACATGGTGAAACCCCGTCTCTACTAAAAATACAAAAAATTAGCTGGGCATGGTGGTGCGTGCCTGTAATCCCAGCTACTCAGGAGGCTGAGGCAGGAGAATTGCCTGAACCCAGGAGGCGGAGGTTGCGGTGAGCCGAGATCGTGCCATTGCACTCCAGCCTGGGTAACATGAGTGAAACTCCGTCTCAAAAAAAAAAAAAAAAAAAAAACTTTGTTAAATAAACACGTTATGCATTTTTCTTGTTCATCTGTTTTTTTATGGATGTCAACTGTGACCCTTACAATGGGTAAAAAAAAGGTATTACATTTTGCCACGACATAATAAGCAAACTAAAAATTTTTCGCTGGATTTTGTTGCTATAATTCTATAAATAGCCAAATGGATATCAGATTTTTCTACTGATATGTTTTTCTACTCAGATTTGGAAAACTTTCTTATAATTTCCACTATTGTAATGGGGCAATTAATATTTCGATACTCTTATTGGTGTTGGCATATTGCAGGATGAATAAGATGTGAGGAAAATAAAGTTCAGATATATTTATATGTTCTACATAAAGCATGCTTTCATTAATAGTGCATTCATATTTATTTATAAATAGTAACTAATAACAGTAAATAATAAGAAATTGGAGGTTAGCAAAGAATATGATAACTGTGGAGCAATCTCCAAGTGATTTTTTTCATAAACAATATCACCTGAAGTAAGAAGAGTGCTTTGTGTTGAAACCTAAAGCTCTGTGGATGTTTATTGATGATGATAGCAATTTTTATAACTTAGTAATTTGCTTTGTCAATTGTGTATTTTAAAGTCTTCTATAAACCAAAAATATCAGCTCTGTATTGTATCACTATTTTTAAAAGTTTTTCCACTTGTTTTCCTTTGGGTTATCATTTTTCCAGGGGCAGAAACTATGACAAATTATCCAATTCCATTAAACCAAAGCTAGCCCACCATTCTCTATTCAATCGAAGGCACAATTCATCTATAAAGTGTTCTCATTGTATGTTTCACGTAGAGAAAGAAACCAATGTCATAAATGTGCTGCAGTTATTTTCTATTTCTTCTTGTTTCTGCAGCGAGAAAAGAAGAAAGAGAGTTAAACATTTATTTACTTGTCAAACTGGACAACATTCGTCAAAAAGAAAAATTATATCCTACTTTGACCACTGTAGCAAGTTGAGCTAAGAGGAAAAAAAATTTACAAAACATTGATTTTTTGTTAGCTACTTTATTTTTAATTCAGTGGGTAACACCTTTTTCCCCCAAACATTTACCTCTCTCGAAATTAAGGGATTATTTTAAAACAACTTCACAGTTTTTTTTGAAACCTAGGTTCTCTAGGAGACTATCTGTTCTGTACTTAAAATAATCAAATTCTGTATATGGTTGGAGGAATTGAAATGATGTGTATATTCTGTTTAAGTGCTTTTTAGTAAGTTGATGTTAAACCTTTAAGATGCCTTTACAATCAACCTGTAAATGGATAATTCATGTGATAAGGCAGAAAAGAAAAGAATTATCTTTTGTGGTATTTAGAAGGTATAACATGTCATTTTAAAAAAATCTAGTAATCATACATTATTTGGAGAATCACATACGGGTTTTTTCTATTTTTTTGGAGATGAAGTCTTGCTCTGTTGCCCAGCCTAGAGTGCAGTGGTGGGATCTTGGCTCACCGCAACCTCTGCTGCTGGGTTCAAGTAGTTCTCCTGCCTCAGTCTTCCCAGTAGCTGGGATTACTGGTGTGTACCACCATGCTACACCAATTTTTTGTATTTTTAGTAGAGATGGATTTCACCACACAGGCCAGGCTGGTCTTGAACCTCTGACCTACCTGCCTCAGCCTATTAAAGTGCTGGGATTGCAGGCATGAGCTACCGCACCCAGCCTATGTATTGATTTTATAGGCAAAACAAAGAACAGGCGCATTGTCCCCCTTTTAAGTATTCCTTTTTATGGTGCGGAGAATAACTACATGAAAAGAAAAAGAAAATTTGAACATGGGGTACAATGTCTTTCATAGCTAGCACTAGTGATGAGACTACAAAAAAGAATTCTTCCACTTTAATGAGGTTACTTGTGCATATAGGAAGATATCCTTTTCTGCACACAATTTGCATTTTGAGATATTTTAGCATTCTGTGGAATGTGGGTTACTGTTGTTATTAAATGTCTGGCTTTATTAACGAGATTATTTGTTGTTGCCTGTGCCACCTGCAAACACATCTGTAACTAGGTTCAATATTGTTCTGAATAATTTTTCTTGCCTGTTTTCCTTTTCTTCTCTCTTTTTCCTGTTTAAACGTGGACTGCATGGAGTCATAGTTGTGGAAGTATCTGAATTCAAAATCAGCATTTTCCAAAACATCAATTGACTTCAAAATTGAATTGGCCATTTTGTGTGTGTGTGTGAACGTAGAATTTTGAATGCAAAACATTCAGGTGCCAGTTTTCTTCTTTGAGGCCAAATAAACAAATCACTAATATTTTCACAATAATAATGTCTATCTTGCATGTCAGGAGTAGGCAGACAATGGTCTGTGAGACAAATCAAGATCGCAGCCTACTTCTGTTTTAATAATCTGTGATTTAACAATATTTTTTATATTTTTATAGGTTTTTTTTAATTAAAAAGAGAAGAATATGTAATGGAGACCTTATGGTCCACAGAGCCTAAAATAGTCATTATCTGGCTCCTTTAGAAAAGTTTGCTAGACACTTGCTGTACTATGAAAGTATTTAAACACACAAGCATGCAAAGTGTTCCTCTTGTAACTCTGATTTCCAGCTCTTAATATTTTTGCCTTGGGCTTGCAATCTATTAGCTCTCTCTTGTTTTCCAATCCTCCCTTTTGAGTTCTTATGCATAATCACATTCTTCTACAGTATAAATTAAGAGGTCTTTAAAATGACATGTGCCGTGGGCACTAGAGAGAAGCATGTTGGCACTTATGCATGTAATCAAGTGAATTTAAATGAGATTAATACCTGCCCTTCATCTTTCACTTTTGCATATTTGTTAACATAATGATGTTTGGGATTTATTTCATTCCTTCTAACCTGCAAATATTAATAAACTCTGTGTACAGGAAATAAGATACAGCTCCTGCCCTCATGTGTTTACAGTTTGATGAGGAAGGCAGAAAGTTAAGTAGGCATTACAAAACACCATCATAACTACTACATACTACTACATAACTATGTAGGTCAGAGCAGGAAAACGAAATCAAACAGTGAATATTATGGAAAGCATATAGAAGAATTGCATTTTGCATTCAGCTGGCTATTAACATGCAAATTTCTAGCTTTAGGGAGCCTTGCATAGAAACACTGCCATTATTATTCCAATATTTTCAAGAAAAATTAAGCAACTTTCTGACAGCGGTAACCTGTTACTGCTTAGAAAAAGAAAAAAAGGTGGTGGCAAAGCATGTATTTTCATGACAGCAAATCTTTAGACCCTTTGAAAACCCCTTTAACTAGAAAGCAATTGTTCCATTTTAAAGTAAAGCTCACTGACAATGTCAGTTTGAACTTCAAAGCAGTGTCAGTTTTCATCTCTTAGGGAGCATATGGTCAGTCATGCAGGTCTTGTCAGCAGTAACAAGGCACTTCAGACTGGGGACCCTGGAAAATGAAAAATGTAAGTTTGTTTTATTTTTTTGGTATGTACAACTTCATTAGCTTGAAAATGAAAGGTAAACATTTAGTTTGCTTACTCTAGCTGTCCAATTCAGTAGCCACTAGCCACATAGAACTATCTAAGTGTAAATGAATTTAAATTAAATTAAAACGATGTTTTAATTACAGGAGCCATATTCCAAATACTCAGTAGCTGTATGTGGCTAGTGGCTACTATACTGAACAATGAAGATAAAGGAAATTTCCAACATCTTAGAAAGTTCTATTAGAATTCATTGACTCTTCCATTGATTACAGTAAAGTCACATCCATTAACTTCCCCAAATAGCAGTTGTTTGTCATATACCCATTTGGACAATTTCTTTTTGTAATTGTACCTCAAAGAATAAATTTTTGAATTTTAGTTCTTGCCTTAGCTAGATATAAACTCTCCCAAAATTTTCTTCTTGAAATAAGATCTACACCGTGCAAAGCAGTTGTAACCCTATTTACTTTTCTTTATGTATTCAGATTCTAAAGGTCTTTAGAAAGCTAATGTAAGTATAGAAAAGTATATGTAATTTAACAAGTAACCTCAAAATGAACACTCTCATGTAACCCTCACCAAAGTCAATAAATAGAACATCCTTTATTATAACTTTATTACTGAGTAATTTTTAAGTGATTTTTAGGTTCTTCCTATTTTGCGTAATTAAAAGTTTCATAGGGTAAATTTGGGTTACTCATGAAATACCCAATATATAAATTGTCAGTTTCCATTTTCATATTTTTTTCTTTTCACAAGGCTAATAAGTTTAGCCTTTTTTGTTAATTATGCTAATTCACTCCTTCCGCTAGCCATAGTTTGGTTGTGTGGATAGAGTGAAGGAGGAAATAATCAACTTTGAAATCAATTGAAGGAACCATATGCTGCCATTTGGTGCTTTCACTGTTACTTTTTATTGGCATCCAGTATGCTGAAAATTTGAACCACATATCTGCTAAATGATATGGCCATCCACATAGTTTCTTTATTTCAATTTTATATCATTGCTATTTAAGAATGTAAGATTTGATCAATATAATTTTAAATATGTTTCAATTTTGTAATAGTAAAATATATAATAGTTATATTGTGTATGATACTTAAAAAGCGCATTCATAGGGTTGACACCTATGACTTAAAGTTTAAAATATTTCTCTCTACTTAATTACGTAAGTGTTCTATCATTACAGTTTTGGACTTAGGAAGTCCCCATGAAACAAGGTATTAAAGATTTGCCACATAGATGACCTAGTGCAAATTTATTTAGCTTTTTCATTAATCAGTTATGTGTTTTGTTTTGTGCCTTAGGAATGGCAAGTTTTTATATACCTTGGAAAAATCAAATAATGAATATCCTTTTTTTACTTTTAAGAGGAAAAGCAGAATACTTTTATTTCCTAAGACATCATTCCTAAAATAAAATTTAACTCAATTTAAGGAGTAGGCCATCTTAATTATTAAGTGCTTAAAAGCAATGTTAGTTTAATAATTTCAACTGCAAATTAATTCCAACTAATTTCCATAGGCTTTCATCACAGTTTCACTTATTGTAGACTAAGGATCCTTCAATGAGGACTAATGGACTCTTAGGATGAGCTCTAAGATCTTTGAAGTCCCTAAAATTGTATGCAAAACTGTGGGTGTGTATATATTGGAAATGCCCATACCTTCAGATTAATGTAGATTGACCTAATTATTGTTTAGATTTATCCTTTCTGTTCTATCCCTGCTATCACTGCCCTAATTCAGGTTCTCCATATCTTTTACACAAATGGTCTATTGGATCATGGCTTGGCCCGCTAATGGCTATCTCTTATAAAGCCATTAGAGAGCTCCAGCAGCTGTTGAAAATAAAAGGTGAAGATAAATAGAAGCATTTGCTTTAAGATTTTGTCAGTTCTCTCCAGTGGTTCAAGTCTGACTTTTTTTTACAGGTGAACATGTTTCTCTACTGTCTACTTCAGCTAGCCAAACTCATGTCTTGCCACTCTTCACTTTAAACTTAGAGTGTTCTTGTCTTTGGAATATTCTTTCTTATCCCTTTTTAGATAGCTGTATTCTGTAACTTCACTAAGACGTTCTCTTCTTATCTCCAGGAATTCTTCACAGGCTGGATAGTTTTATTAATATTTTGAGTGCCTCTAATACCTGGTATAATTATCAGTATAATTACCACACCGTGTGTGTAGCTTTAATGTGCGTTTGTGTGTGTGTGTGTGTGTGTGTGTGTGTGTATCTGAGAGAGAGAGGGAGGTTTCAATTGACAGTAAACTTCCTGAGAGTAAGACCTATGTTACTGATTTTTCTATCCCAAGTATCAAGCCCAAGTTCTGAGAAACCAAAGGTGCTCAATAAATACATGGCAAGTGAATAAATAAATGACTGAAGGAATTATTTTTAGATCTACTCATTTATTTAAAAGAATTCGTTTCAATTCAAACTTGTTTTCATATGCATACATATTAAAGACCTGATAGTTTTATGAACATAATTCAATTACCTTCTTAACTTACTTGACACACTTTTTGTGGTGTGAATGTGAAAATCATATTATCATATCAGACTGGGCTCAGTTACATTAGCATTTGAAGAGATCAGAAAGATCGTTCTTTTACAATTGAGGAATCAGAGGATTAAATTCAGTGGGTAAGCAGGAAGAAGCATGGATTGGTTTCACCCAGGCTTAGTAGTTCTGTATTCCTTGGGCAAAGCTGTTTAATATCTTTAATTCTCACTTTTTACATCTTTGTGGTGAAATAATAATGACCAATTTATTCACAAAAAACTTCTTTCACCATTTATTTTAAACTAAACTTCCTCCAATACATCTTTCTGATGTTTGAGGGAGGAAATGGAGAAGAAAAGGGAAGAAGGATAAAAGGAAAGTAGGGAGAAAATGAGAATGTCGACTCCAAAAAATTTTTAAGAACTTATCATTTATTTGAAAATGCAAAAGACCCTGGATAGGCAAAGCAGTCTTGAGCAGAATGACCAAAGCTGGAGGCATCACAGTACTTGACATCAAAATATTCTACGAAGTAAACAAGACAGCATGGTACGGGCACAAAAGCAGACACCTAGACAAATGGAACAGAATAGAAAACTCAAAAATAAATCCATGCATGTACAGCTAACGGATTTTTTATAAAAATCAGTGCCCAAGAACACACATTGGGAATAGGACAGTCTCTTTAATAAATTGTGTCGGGAAAATTGGATATCCATGTGCAAACTAATGAACCTAGATCTCCACCTACTACCATATACAAGAAATCAATCCTAAGTGAATTGAAGACCTACATGAAAGATCTGAAACTATGAAACTGGAAGAACAAATTAAGTCATGAAATTGAACTGGACAAGGATTTTTTTAAATAACCCCTCAAAGCACAGGCAACAAAAAGCAAAAATTAGAAATGAGATTACATCATACTAAAAAGATTCTGCACAGCAAAAGAAATGATCAACAGAATGGAGACAAAACCTACAAAATGGATGAAAGTATTTTCAAAGCATGCAATGACAATGGATTAAAATCCAGACTATATAAGAAACTCAAACAAATGAGAACCAAAAAATGATAATAATTTGGTTAAAAATGGGCAGAAGACCTAAATAGGCAACTATCAAAATCAGAGACACAAATAGCCAACAGATATATTTTAAAATACAAAACATCACTAATCATCAGGGAAATGCAAATCAAACCAGAAAAGATATCACTGCATACATGTTAGAATGCTTATTATCAAAAAGAAAAAAAAATGGTAGCAAGGATGTAGAGAAAGATGAATTCTTATGCACTGTTGGTGGGAACATAAATTAGTACTGACATTATAGAAAACAATATAAAGATTTTTATGAAAAATGGAACTTTTATATGATCCAGCAATCTCAGTACTGGGTATATATTCAAAGGAAATCAAATCAATATGTCAAAGAGACCTCTGCACTTCATGTTTATTGCAGCACTATTTACAATATCCAAGATATGGATCAATGTAAATGCCCATCTACAGATGAATTAAGAAAACATAATATAGATAGATAGATAGAAAGAGAGAGAGAGAGAGAGAGAGAGAGAGGTATCAGACATACACACATGCACATACACACACACAATAGAAAGCTACTCAGCCATAAAACAGAATGTGATACACACACACACACACACACACACACACACACACACACACAGGAATACTATTCAGCCATAAAATACAATGAAATTCTGTAATTTGCAACAACATGGATATATGTGGAGATCACTACATTAAGTGAAATAAGCCAAGTATAGAAAGACAAATACTGCTTGATCTCAGTCATATATAGAATCTAAAAAAGTTTTAGAAATAGAGAGTAGAATAATGGTTACCAGAGGCTGAGGTGAGTAGATGGGAGGGAGGACCCAAAGAAGCTGGTCAACTGTACAGAGTTAAAGTTGGTCAGAAAGAATAAGTGCTCGTGTTTAATTACAGAGTAGGGTGACTATAGCAAATAGCAGTGTAGTGTATATTTCGAGATAGCTAGAAGAGAAGATTTTTAATGTTATTACCACAAAGAAATCATGGATGTTTAAAGTAATGGATTTAGTGACTACCCTGATTTTTTCACTATACAACGTATACATTCACTGAAACATCATACTAGAGCCCAGAAACATGTGCAATAATTATGTGCTAATTATAAAACATAAATTTTAAAAAAGCTAAGACTACAGGAATTTGTAAAAATCCACTTTCACTTTTTAAGTGTGTCATTTAGTGACTGCATAGTATTCCTTCACATAGATGTTCTATATTTATTTAATACTTTTTCCATTTTTGTTCAGCAAAGAAATTTCTTCTTTCACAAACTACATGTCATGTGGCCTTAAGCATCAAGCGTTTCCTGTATTGGGAATCATTTCTTAACTGCTGATTCTTAGGAATGAGAAGTTTCTTATACATATCCCCAAGAC